TTGCTGTTGACAACAATGCCCCCTTTTATCTTAGCTTTCCAAGTATTACTGAAAAATGCCGTGTAAGGGGTATGAATACAGAAAAGCGTTAAATTATAATATTCACGATGAAACTTCATTTCCATAATTTCATAATCACTGACCATGATAAATTTAACTACATGTTAAAGGCGTTAAGTATAAAATTATGAAGTATAAAGGCGCTCTATTTCATTATAGAGGTATTAAACGCTTCAAGATACCCTCATTCTGGGGCCACGTACCTGAGAAGAATTTTGTTAACAAAAATAGTTCACTTTAAATGAAAATCCTTACAGAGAAATTGCCCATAACGAAAAACGTGAAGTGTAGTAATCTGAGTATAAAATCATTTCTGAAGTGTTTGGGATTAACGATCAACAAATCGTTACTTATCTGCATGAATCTAAATTCTATTCAACCAGCAGCATGTGATCTGGTTGCCCATCTAATCTCCATTACTAACTATTTACACACCGCCTGTCATTTACGATTAGCTTTGTTACGGATACGCACAACAATAGATCCATTTGAAACCCATTGTTGACTATCGAATCGTAAATTTAATTCGGTGCGGTTTGTTGGACATTCAATTTTTAACTATAGGTTTATGGTACTGTTTCTTTTCGTATTGTATTGATTTCAATAGAACGCGTGAGATATTTACTACCGATAGATAAATTATTAAATCATACCTTAACAAATGGTACCTACGAACTATGACAGAGTACCTAGGTACATACGTACCTACCTATAATCATTGTAGATAGGATGGTTTAATTAGTTGAATTTTTATTTTTATAACGGGATACGAACGTGCAAGAATGTTAAATACCTACATAAATAGAATAAAATTGTTTGTCGTTTTTTTAAAATGACTTGTGGGGGTGCACGTGCTCATGTGCACTTATTAAGAAACCGCCATTGCCAACGATTCTCCACGTACTGCGGTCATGCGGCCTTCGGTTCGAACTTTGAATTAATAATATTGTTTTACGCGATCTCTTAAACCTTTCGCGTTCACAATATGTAAGTTTGTACCGAAAATTCGGCTAATCAATCAATACGCGAACGAACAAAATAGCGCTCGACCGGATCGATTCTCTTCGAAAATTTCAGCAAAAATCTTGCTCTCCCACCAGATTTTTACTTAAATACCTAGCCGAATCCATGTGCGAAACGACCCCCCTTTGGAGCGTGACCTCTTAACCAATACAAATCCCGCATTTTCGTCACGCGCTCGGATTTTTGCAAAACGGAACGAAACTCTTTAAGGTCTGTAAGATCGTGGCAACACTGTGACGTTTTGACAACCATTGTTTCTTATCTTGAAACGCTTTATTATTTCGAAATAAGTTCTGTTCTCTCCTTATGAAGCGGTACACCTATAACATTTCCAATACAAGCAATTTTGTTAATTTTCCACAAAAATCTTGAAAGTCTACAGCGACCACCTGTTACAGTGTCAAGCGTGTGCGTGACTCAGCGGAGAGAGGTCGCTTGCCTTCAGGAGATATCTCTGCAGAGCACCCAAGGACAAAGGAATTTCAGCGATAAGTTTAATGGGATCAGACGAAATGTGTTCTTTGAAAAGATAAAAGGATTGTTCCCTAAATACTATACGTAAGAAAACTTTTATTCCACTGTTCATTCAAAATGCTTTCGCAAAGGACATGAGAACGGTTCAGGACCGTCTCTATTTTTTCTCTGGTAATTTATCCAATAGTGCAAGCTTGGGAGACTGGAGACAGAATTTCCTTGATGACAACACAATTTCTGATCATCCCGCACTTCTCTTGAATGATTTCTATAAAATTAGTGAAATTGACTCTAAACTTGGAGTCATTTCGTGTGGCAATCAGATAAGCTAGAAGCTATGGAGATGTTTAGTAAATTCGCTACTGTCAGTAGGTGAAAATTTTAAAACAGCTCGCATTCGGAAACACGACTTTTAATCCGGCTCATATTCTATGGCACTGATACTTGAAATCGTAGCAATCGATTGGCGAAGGTTTGACATCGGACATCGCTGTATTTTATCATTCTCGAGTTATTAGACGAGGAACAGACGGACGGGCGGACAAATCCATCGCATAAGGGGAAGATTCTTTTCCTTCTGAAAAATTGTCATTTGTAGTTTCATATAAATAAGTAGGATATTTTCATTTTTTTTTGTTTCTTTTTAGAGTATGTGTTCTGATATTCACCTGCGTGTAGGGGCGGGAAAGGACTCTACTACAGAGGCATTGCATGCCGTAAAAGGCGTCTGATCAACGAAGGAGTGTAACATGTAATGATCCCAAAGAATAACCCTACCACAGAGGGCTCTGTGAGTCGTAGGAGGTAACTTTTTTTTACAAGAAATCAACATACCTATACAATTTGTTAGTGGACAGGGTGTTCCTAAATATGATGTATAAATACGGAAGGGGCTAATTCTTTGGTTTATTTTATAACTAAAAGTTCATATAAACATAGGTCCCTAACGTTTCCTTACTGTTCTACAGGATGTTAAAATTTGTTACATTTTTTCTATATACCTATATACCTGCCGTTTTTTAGGTATTTTGCTCAAATTTGAAATATAAGGTTCGCTGAAGGGCTTACATCATTGGTCATTTCAATGGTAGAGAGAATCTATATTAGGGTGTCGTTTATTCAGGAGTCATGTTCCATTTTCTACCCCTGAACTTTTTTCGGTGCGCCACTGGTAGAATTGTGAGATTGTGTTTATTTTTCCGATTTGTTTAGAATCTATGCCCTGTGGCCGTTAGGTATCGAAAAAAAATAAAAATCAATTTTCGGTAGTTAGCTAAATAATCAAATTGGGGTTATTTAGGATGATAGAAAATTTGAGAGAAAAGTTTTAAGCGTAGGTATTTTTCTAAAAGTGAAAAAACGGTTGCACTTTGTTGTCCGTGTGTCCTTCACTCCTTCCGTTCGTGCCACCGTCCATCCGTCACAAGTCACTTCTACACGACTGGACCCGGGACCGATTTGGGCGATATTGGGGCTCATTTTAAAGAGCTTGGTCCAAGGATTCCGTGCATACCCATATTTTTGGTTTTGCGCATGCGCAGTGTCAAAAATTTGGTTTGACGCATGTGCAACGCTTTTTTTTATTTATGAAGGTATAAATTAAACTTCATATGTAAACACTACGAATGTATTTAAATAAAATTAACGAAGTTTTCAAAATATGGTTTTGCGCATGCGCAATGCCAGTTTAATTGTTATTTACGAAACTATTTAAATAAAATTTGATACATAGGCACTTGGAAAAAAGCAAATCTAACACCAGTTTAAAAATTTCGTTTTGGATTAGCATATTATATAAGGAGAAAAAGACGCTCTTGTTATTTATGTCTGCATAGGTAATCATTTTATATTTGTTTTATTTCGATTGATCTTTATTACCGATTTTGACGCTTTTTTTGCTGACTTATTCGACCGAAGCCCGAAGGAGAGGAGCTGAGGCGAAGCATCCACGCGAGCTATATGGAACCCACGATACCCTCATCGTGATGGAATCGTAATAAATGACCAAAGGGTGTACTCGTGGCGATATATTGGCCGAGAGCGCATCAGTGTGTTAAAATAAAACGGTAAAGAACTACCTGCTGGCTAATTTTTTTAATTTTCGGCGTTCTTTAACCAAATAAAAATCACGTTTGGAGCCTGGCACTATTTTTTTTTTTTTGCTATGTCCACAAGTGACAATGGTTATCAAAGAGAAATTTTGGTTGTAAGTACCTATAGGTAGGTACCGGTTTTTGAAGATAATTTATGTGAGCTGATTTGGTATGGGTGCTTGATGGGGATTTAGATCTAGCGCTGTACTGCGGATTGTAATTAAATGCTATAAATTTAATACATACCTACCTACCTATACTGTAACGTAAGTTTAATCACGTGATTTATTTACATTAACTATTAATGAATTTATATAACAGTTAATTTATATTCATCACTTAGGTACTTATACTTATACTCCCACGTAAACACACACTGTAACCACACGAGCGCGGATTTCACTATTTGTCACTTCGGCATCGATTTGTGTTTGCCTATGTCTACCTATATACTTTTAAGGCTGATCCAACAGCTCAACGTCAACCGTATGTTTACAATACATTTTACAATAAATTGTGTTTACAAAGAAGTCTAATTACTCAGTCATTTATGAATTTGGCATCAATGTATAAACAAAGGTTGGTTCTAGGTTTCTATTGACTTACAATTTTGAAAATTGGTTTAGATTTGATGTAAATTTGTGTTGAAAAACACAATATTCTCTTATAATAATTCATAATGCAAGGAAAGTTGTGCTAGTAAAATATAACAACCACTTATACCTACTCATAAGTAGTTGGTATGCTATTTGCATTTAAATTACGTATCTGCCTATATCTAATAAGAATGCTTTTTGATGAAAGGTTAGAGAAATTCATTTCACCGAGGATCCTGTAACAATTTAGAAGCTCTCAAAAATATACCTACCCACTTGCAATAAAAGCTTGAATCAAAACGACATGAAAAAGTGTGCTCCAACCTCAGATCAATATGCCCAATAAAATGATATAAATATACAATATCATTGTTCACCCTTCTCCCACTCTGCTCTTGTGTGTAGAAAAGCACTCCTGTAATAGGTTAGTACTAAAGGTGGAGTTGAAATTGTCATTAATTTATAAGCTCCCTGCCATCTTACGCTCAACGACTCGGCGTCTAAAGGCGAAACTTCGCCCGGTAGTAACAGAAAATTCACCTAAAGGCCCAGAGCTGTAAGAAATAAATTCCCTGCAGAAATCTCTTCTGCTTTAATAGGGTATAGAACCCGCCTATACTTTGTACGCCGGTTTCATTGGTGAAAATTATACATTCTCCGCCTATAAACGGAAATGAATACCCAGAATGCAGCAGGTCTATGAGAGAAGTGCCATGTACACTTTGAGGACACTCTAAGAGCACGCTTAGGCAAGTTAAGCGCACTTCGCAGCTAAAGAGTCTTACATCAAGAGTGCTCCAAGAGTGCTATAGCTCGATCACTGATTTATTTATATAGTTAGTCAGTTTGTTTATTGAATTCGGTTATCCAATCGACCGGAAGTGGAAGTCAAAAACGCGTCGGTCTCTTGCTTTCCTTCTGTTTAGCAAATTAAGTGAACTAATGGAATTTTTCTTCAAGTTTAACTCGTTTCAATTTACGCGCATGATTTCGTCCTAATCAATTAATTTTAGACGGCGGTTAATCTAATTATTGTAGTTGTTTTCTGTGTACCTACGTTACTTATACCTATATGCGATGTGATTACTTTCCTAATTAATTTAACGCGCATCTCAAATAAAAAATACACGCGTATAGTTTTATAAAGAAAAAAATTGATGGATACGGTTTTATAATAATAAAGTGTGGTGGATTATTTAGAGAAGGTGCTGGAGTCGATGTCTGCAAGTGGCTACGGGGAAGGTCCCGTGGTGTCGGACCGGGGCGACCTGCATGGGTTGCTACCTGAACTCAATGGCGTCGAATTGGCTATGAGCTTGAGTCCAAAACATCATCACGGCGGTCCTCAAGTTTTGAGCCATCTTCAGCAATTACACCACCACTCCACACCATTCAGTGTTACTGATATCCTTAGTCCAATTGAAGAGTCGTATAGGAAATTGGAAGTTGCTACTAATCCTCCTTCGCCTTACAGGTAGGGTTTTAAATTTATATTGAATCGCATATAAGTGCAGCACTGCAACTACCGCATCAGGGCAAGAAAACCTATTTTGCCTATAAGTTTTCTACCTAATTAAATATTTACAATGCCAAAATGTTGCACAATTAAATTACATTTCATTTATCTTAAAGAGCACACTTTTGTCTTGAAAGTAGGTACCTACCTATGCGTCGATTATCAATTACTGAAGAGACATCATAGGAATTTAGGTATAGGCAGAATAGGTACCTATCTATAACGGATAGGTATACACCTTAGGTAGGTACAACATAAAGGTTAAAAAAAAGAAATATAGTTATAGAATATAGTGTAGACTCGCCACCGCGTACCTATAATCCGTCGCTTATAGTCGGAGATGATGTGTATACACATCTCCGACTATAGGTTTACCATACCTATATTACGTAAGGTGTTCTTTTCTGCAAAACAGAAATACCTATAGGTATAAGAATTGGAATTTGGTTAATTTTACTTAATTTAATCGATGTCACCGTAAACTTTGAAATTTAAAAATAGTTTAGGTACCTACATCCTGGAAATGTCCCAATATCAAAAATCACAAAATGTAATTCCTATAGGTACTTAGTTATTTATTTTATTTATTATCCCTCTCTTGTTCTGGGCCCCAAACAGGCTTGCGCCCAATTACAGAGTGACAGAGTATTTTTTTAAATTTTTTTAATTCTATACATATCTACAATTTTACACAACAAATGCTATTGTTCAGAAGTAGGTAACCCAAATATATATAGGTAGATAACATTTAACTAGCTATAGGTGCATACGACATCCGTTACGTGAAGAGCCAGACTAAATCGGAAGTAGGGGTGAATTCCCAAAATTTTAAATGGCACCATGAGTCAAGTTTGATGCTTTTGATGGATAGACATTTGAAAACGAAACAATTTTTTTACTAAAAAAAACTTTTTGATACCTACCTATTATATTATATATAGGTATACCTATACGTTCTTTATCTGTGATTATACCTAGTTAAATTGTTTCCCGAATGTTCTTTACTGCCTGTATTAATACACAATGATTGGTAAAATTATGCGCATATTGCAGAATATTAGTGAAAAATATGCAAACGGTTTTGATATATATGCACGCGTATACAAAATTATATATGTTGCATAATTTCTAATAAAAAAGGAATTACGATAAACACTAGCAATAAGATGTTTCTCTTAAGTTTTCTGCACGAAATGATTGTCTCCTGTCGCTAAGAATTAATTTATAAGCACTAAGCAGAGAAACTATACCTACTCTACATCAACTAAAGTAATAGGTGCATTAGAAAAGGACAAACTATTGGGAGCAATTTCCAAACCTTCCACAATATCACCCATCGTCACCGTAGAGAAAGAGAAAGATAAAATAGTTTGGAAATGATGAAATTAAACATCAATTAAATCAATAAATCTTCCTTTCGGCGTTTACAGTATGTTTCATTATCGCGTCCGTTATAAAAATCCGAAAAAATGTATTAAAAATTAAAATTAAAATCGATTAAGCCTAACAAAAATTTAAATACATCTTAAAATATGCAATTCTATCATGTAAATGCAAAGGATATCAAAATATGCAAGATACGCAAAAATAAATTCGGTTTAATAAATATTGCAAACCGAAGATACACAAAATCTCATAAGACAACCAAAAGTAAACGATTATTCACAGCTTTAGCTGATCAAACAATTGAATTAAAATTAAAATAATTACTAAATACAAAAATCATTGTAGTTACGTCTATAGATATATTGTAGCTGAAGAGCCATGATCAAATAACAAATGATGATGAAATTGGTATGTGCGGATTATGTTTCGAAACCTTCACTTCTCTACTTTAATTGAACTTGTATCTCAATTTGGACGACACTGGGTTCGTTGTAATTACAGATGTAAAATTGGCTCTTTAATGGTGAAAAAACTCCCTTTAACGAGTACTAGGAAAACCTTAAAGAAAGTCTTCAGATAAGCGACGCCTGTTCGATAAACACAGCACTTCCACTAACTTCCTCGTAAAACGTGACACACGTTTCCGCTTAACGGTAAACAAGAACTTTACAACTGGCAAGACTGACTGTCTTGCAATAAATACGATCAAATACGACTTTTAGCCATAACGTCAGAGTTTGTTAATGTTGATGGAAAGGTGTATATTGTGCCGATAATTTGACATAAGTAGATTATATAAAACAAAAAATACATTGGAAAATTGTACGTCAAAATCAAAGAGATGCTATTCCGGAAGCAGCAAAAAGATGAAAGATAACCCTAAGTTTGGCTTCCATATCACCACGTAGAATTACCAAGCTGGCTCTTGACAACTACCATTACGTAATGCTAATAACTTTAAAGTGTACAAGCGCATGCAAACTGCCAACTTGTGGATACGTCACTGAAGAAAAGGAAGAAGGAGCAGATTTTAGTGTATATGAAACTTTTGAAAGTACCGATGGGGTTAATTTAGTTTTCATTAAATGTTAAGAGTTAAAAAAAATTCCGTTCGTTTACTTCATGCATTAGTTACTAGGTAATTGTTGATTTTATGGGAAATGTAGTTATGACAATATTGTAGCACACACAAAAGCTTTCATTTAAGAAAATGATGAAGTCGGACCAATAGTTCTAAAGATAGGTATAGTTGATTTTATAAAACTCAACATCCGCCATCTTGGATTGGCCGCCATTTCTATTAGCTACCACTTTGAGATGGCAATTATCGTTTTTTTTAAATCCTAATGCATGTGTCTAACCGTGGTAAAAATGAAAATTGGTACCCCCAAATTATACCATTTCCTTAAATTTAGCCAGTTGGCCCATAGACTAACCCGAGGACTAACCTAGGTAGGTATTACTTTTACAATTTTACTATTGCTTCCATGCCCCGGGGCCCGGGCTATATGTTTTTAGCGCCCTGGGCCACATTTAGCTGGCGCCCCCGTAACTAATGTTTATGTTACGGTAAGGGTACATAATGTGGTAATTGTATACATTTACCGGAGTCTTTGGTAAAAGTAGAAAATAATCTTAAAAGACCCTCTATTTCCTACTTTTACCGGTAATTGTTTACAATCGCCAGAGGAGCTTGGTGAAAGTAAGAAATTCAAATTTCGAGGATCGACACGCAAGCGCAGTGCGTTTGTTTACCACGTGCATGTGTGATCCTATTATTAGTCTGCAGTGTTGATTCTTCGTAAGTGTTTATATCAGTTCTGCCATACAAAATTTGCCTCTTGTTATTGATTCAGGCAAAAAAACTCTTGTTTTTAGGTTAAAAAAAAATAATAACAAAAATTACACTTCTTAAAAAAACTATTTGAATTTATTGTTTTTATTTCTTCCTTTGATATCATTTTCTTACTTTTACCGCTGGTCCTTGGTTATTGTATACAATTACCGGTAAAAGTAGATAATTGAGAATAATTTCGTACATTTACCAGTGACTTTGGTGATTGTATACAATTACCGGTGATTGTATACAATTACCAATTATGTACTTTTACCGTAACATTTATACCTAACAGTTAAATTGTGTACCTACTTAGTGACCGAGCTTCATAGGGATATTTATCTGTATTCATTTTGAAACAAAGTGCACTAAGAGTCACAGAGGCGAGGAATGTCCCACTGGCAGAAATAAACAGCATTTTATACTACAAACGTTGAATGATAAGTACCTACGCTTATTTGGGCACATTTATTTTGCCAAAAATTATTCACAAGCCCAGATCTAAATTGCAAATAATAAAAGATTCTGGACAGTGTGCAGTCATGGGGGGGATATACAGTGCGTTCAAGATAAGAGGCTCACCCCAATGTCTCTTATTTGGCGAGCTACGAACAATTTGTCATATATAATTTTATATATGGCAATGACATTGACATTACGATCTAATCCATCGCAACTTCCTGTATCACTTCCGGTTTAATCGGAAATTGATTGCATATTTTGATGCTACACAGTGCTGTTTTGAAATGGAACAAATTCCGACTACTTTCGGAGAAAATCGTTTTTATTTTTTACTGAAGTTATTTAAAAAGATCAAATTTGTTTTTTCTTACGGAAGTCATTTTTACGTTTTGTGTCATTTGACTGTCACTTTTTTCTGATTTGAAAAATGTAAATATCGCTATTTTTTAATAAGAATTCTAGAGAAAAAAAAGTGGTCATAATAATGTATCATTTATTTTGGAATATCTTTTTAAATAACTTCAGTAAGCAATAAAAACAATTTTGCCAAATTTCGTTTTTTCCGTATATTACATATTCTTGATTCTGTGCAGTATATAGAAACTTAAAAAAATTATTATATTACATAACAAAATGTATAGGTAATATAGAAAAACTCAAATTAAGGAAAATAATATTTATTTCATAATTTCACTAGTTTGCGTTGAGAAAAAGGTTACTCTTTTGTATTTTCTTGATCTAGGTAATATTAGGTAAAGAATGATTATATACTATATGCAATATAGCTACAAGATTATCCGCAGTCTGTCACTGCACTTACACCGTTACCTATTCAAAGGTATATGCGGACGTCAACTAGCAAAGTCGTATAATTGATTATTATTATAGTTGAAGGTGCACATACGCCGTCGGGAAGTTTTTCGCGTTAAATTTAGTATAGGTAATACCACTTTTTTTTCCCTATCTATTTAGGTTTTCCCTGCGTTTTGAAATAAATGCGCACGAGTTTGATTTTCGAAACAACACATCATAACACTCCCGCTTAGATTGAGGTCAAATGCATCGACCGCAATATTTCTTCATAGTTTAACCAGGATAAATGATAATGTAGGTACCTATACAATTTTTGAGAAATAGGTAGGTATATACCTAGGTATACCTATCGCATTAGTTTCACACACGGTAAAAAACTCAGTTCATTTACGCTTCAGTATATACATCTAAGTAGGTATGTTTGTTTTAAAATGCAAGGTTCGTATGGTATAACTAAACA